AGACGACGACGATGATGATGATGAATATGAATTTGTTTTTGTGAACTCGTGTGGGCAATTGGCGGATCAGCGGCTTGCGTGACTGAGTGCTGTTGCATTTGGGTGAACTGCTGGTGGATTTTCAGGAATGGCTTCCAGCATACCATTGGCGAGAAAACTTTCTCAAGGACTGATTTGAGTCCCGGATAGCCTTTAGAGTCTAGAGACCTCCCACGGCATTCCGCACACTCGAGAAATATCAGAAATTAAAGTAAGAGGGGACATACATAACAATTTGCATAACTGTACTCGTTCGTTTCTTTTTGGAACAAGAGTTCCCAACCTCGCTCGATTTTGCAGGACCTGGGCTCAGCTTCAACGCTAGGTGCTGTCCTTTTTGCTCAGTCCTTGGCACACGCAGCGTTGTGCAAGGCGGGTACCAACAAGTTCTGCAAAGTTTCACGTACACGAGTTTGACGCAGCGCAATGTGCTCTGAACATCTCTGAGTGCCATCCATAAGAAGGCGCTGTAGCATGCTGTATACGCCTCTTGGTAATTGGTCTTGACATGTCCTGACATTATAGATCCAAAATTTGATTTGATTTGTAACAAACTGTGGCCCCAAAAAGCAGCTAGACAATCTAGACAAGACCCTTGATTTCTCAATTCCGGTGCAGCAACAGCACACCTTTGGCACAGTTGTTGGTGAAGTGATGCAGTCCCTGTGGCATCATGCTTGTTTAGAACCTGGTGAACTGGTGAACTGTCAGATTTGGATTTGTCACGAAAGGTAGCCTAGGCTACCTGAGTTCTATGTACTTTAGTACTAGTTTAGTACTGGGGGAGGTGGCTGGTCCTTACCCGGAAATTGAGACCCGAGAGTCACGAACGGAGACTTAGGGACTTAGGGGGGGGGGGCCCGTGGCTTGGACCGTTGTGGACAATGTGTCGCTGGTAGTTGTGGTATATGTTACCGTGCTTGTGTGATGCGGGCGCTAAGGAAAGAAGGCATGAGCACATGCTTCCGGCGTGAGTTTGGCGCAGGGCATGCCATGGGCAAGGTGGGGCGCCGTTTGCGCCGTTTGCGATTTGCGCCGTTTGCGCGGTTTGCGCCTTTTGCGCGGTTTGCGCCCTTTGCGCGGTTTGCGCCGGTTGCGCGGTTTGCGCGGTTTTGCGCCGTTTGTGCGTTTTGCGCCGTTTGCGCCGTGTGCGCGGTGTGCGCCGTTTGCGCGGTTTGCGCCGTTTGCGCGGTTTTTTGCGCGGTTTGCGCCGTTTGCGCGATTTTTTTGCGCCGTTTGCGCGGTTTTTTGCGCCGTTTGCGCCGTTTGCGTGGTGTGCGCGGTTTGCGCCGTTTGCGCCGTTTGCGCGGTTTGCGCGGTTTGCGCTCTTTGCGCCGTTTGCGCGGTTTGCGCGGTTTGCGCCGGTTGCGCGGTTTGCGCGGTTTTGCGCCGTTTGCGCCGTTTGCGCCGTTTGCGCGGTTTGCGCCGTTTGCGCCGTTTGCGTGGTGTGCGCAGTTTGCGCCGTTTGCGCCGTTTGCTCGGTTTGCGCCGTTTGCGCCGTTTTTTGCGCCGTTTGCGCCGTTTGTGCGGTTTGGGCCGTTTGCGGCGTTTGCGCGGTTTGCGCGGTTTGCCCGGTTTGCGTCGTTTGCGCGGTTTGCGCGGTTTGCGCGGTTTGCGCCGTTTGCGCCGTGTGCGCGGTTTGCGCGGTTTTGCGCGGTTTTGCGGAGTTTGCGCGCTTTGCGCCGTTGGTGCCGTTTGCGCCGTTTGCGCCGTTTGCGCGGTTTGCGCCGTTTGCGCCGTTTGCGCCGTTTGCGCTTTTTGCGCAGTTTGCGCGGTTTGCGCGGTTTGCGCGGTTTGCGCCGTTTGCGCCGTTTGCGCGGTTTGCGCCGTTTGCGCGGTTTTGGCGGTTTGCGCGGTTTTGCGCGGTTTTGCGCGTTTTGCGCCGTTTGCGCCGTTTGCGCGGTTTTGCCCGTTTTGCGCCGTTTGCGCGGTTTGCGCCGTTTGCGCGGTTTTGCGGAGGTTTGCGCCGTTTGCGCCGTGTTGCCCCCGGTTTTGCCGCCCGTTTTGCGCGGTTTGCGCGGTTTGCGCGGTTTGCGCCGTTTGCGGGGTTTGCGTCGTTTGCGCCGTTTGCGGGGTTTGCGTGGTTTGCAACGTTTGCGTGGTTTGCGCGGTTTGCGCCTTTTGCCCCGTTTGCGCCGTTTGCGCGGTTTGCGCCGTTTGCGCCGTTTGCGCGGTTTGCGCCGTTTGCGCGGTTTGCGCCGTTTGCGCCGTTTGCGCGGTTTTGCGCGGTTTTGCGGAGGTTTGCGCCGTTTTTTGCGCCGTTTGCGCGGTTTGCGCCGTTTGCGCCGTTTGCGCGGTTTGCGCCGTGTGCGCCGTTTGCGCCGTTTGCGCGGTTTGCGCGGTTTGCGCCGTTTGCGTGGTTTGGTTTGGACGATGTAGATGTTGATGGTGAGGTTGAAGATGAGGATGAAAGTGCTGATGATTAGGAGGATGATGATGGTGATGAAGAGGATGATCATGGTCATGCAGGGAGGAAGACCTATAGAGCGTAGATATAATGAACAATGCGTTGGTGAGCTTGCGTTAGGGTGGAAACTTACCGTTGCGTTAGGCATTGATTCGAAATACTATGTTTAGATTGAACACGGTGGTACACAAGATTTGGCTTCTCGCAGACTGTAACTCAACTTAACTTCTCCGTGTGTGAAGTGACCGCTGGACAATCGAACAAGGATGCACAAGAGCATTTGCTTCACAATGTCACGCAGTGACGTTGCAAATGAGTTGCTGTGATCGGTTGTTTTCAAACTCGGACTCTGGAACGCATGGTGACAAGCCGATTTCAGTGCCGTAAGATCAAGCACAAGAAAGATCATGGCTGTCAGGAGATGTTCTTAAGCTGAAGCTGCAGGCCTGTGGCTGCATGGAACGCTTGAGCTACAGCTTGGTCAGTACCCGGCACTGCGTCCGGTCCGGGAACTGCTACTACTGCATCAAACACTGGACACACTAGGCGCCAACCATACTCTTCAAGTAGGTTAACAAGTGTCTGCGTGGCACGGTCTTCCTCTTCGAAAACCATAAATGCTAGTGTTGATGTGGCTGGACGCGGTCGCTTCGCAGCAACCATCTGGGCCATAACTGGAGCATTGGCGGCGCAGAGAAACTCTCGCAGAGTGCGGGACTCCACCGCAATGCCTGGAGAGAGAACTAACGTGAGGTAGGATGTGAAAGAAACCAAACATGCCTTGCGTAAAGCATACGTACGGAAATTAGGTTTAGAAAAACTTTGAGAAAACAATGTGTCAACGACCAGGAGCCGGAAATGAAGAAGAATACATGTTAAAACTTTTCGTATCAGGCTGCTATAGGTCACATGAATCGTTGTTGACACGTATGTGGTCATGTATGCACGTGTAAGGCCGTCCTTCCAGCAACGGCAGCACTCCGGCTGCGGGATGTTCTTTCAGTGGCAACGCAAATCCAAATGTGGCTTTGAGCAAGAGGGTCTTTGCGGCTTCTTCATCTGTGTTGTAATACTGCGCCACGGCTTCTCGCCAGGCATTCCGATGCGCACAATACCGTTGCAAACACGGAGTCAAAATGTTAGCTTTGCCAGCGAGCAAGACCATGATGTTGGGCACCGCGTTCATCTGATCAAACTCCACAGAGTGGTTCGGACAAATCGCTTGACGCGCTTTGCGAGTCAGAGCTGGTAAAGATATATGAGGGAAAAAGTGTCGACCCAAAGGAGTGTCGCCCACCAACTTCTTTCGCCCTACCTGGGCACGCGACCAGCATGGAGAGTATGTGTTATATGCTTCTGGCTGGCTATGAAAGTAAAAAAAAAGCTTTGTCTACCAGGAGTAGCCAGGCGAGCCAGGGGCGAAAGTTTCCAAAGATGAACCTATTGAAGTCGCATGGATGACGCCAAGCAGGGCACTTGCGAAAGCAGATCTGTAACTTTGATTGCGATGCCGAAACTGCAAATTTGCAATGTCTGAAGGTTTCATGTGAAGTTACATTACTTCATTACCTAACTACATTTACTTGACTGGACCACAATTCGTCACCACAGTACTTAACTTGACTACATTACTCTACTGCAGTACTTAAGGAGGCTTCATTACTTCACTTCATTACTTGACTGTTTACTTTACTTCATTACTGAACTACATTACTTCACTTTAGTGCTTGACAAATTACTTTACTTCATTGCTTGGCTACATTATGTCACTTCATGCGTTGCGTGCCTTACGCACACTACTTGACTTGACTACAGTACTGCACTACAGCACGATCAGACCGTGATCGGAAAGCGTCGTTCCGCAGACTTCATCCGCGCAGCCTCGGTGGCACATATCGGTGAAAAAAAACACCGGGTTTTCGCGTATTTGCTATCTATTTTGTTTTAAAAAAAATATGTATGCGGAAGACATGTTGGACAACTTTTGCGTAGCTATTACATGGCGCGTGGAACCAGCCAGCTGCACAACACCGTCGTACTACGTCATCAGCGTGCGCAAGGATGACGCTTGAAGTAGCAGTACTTGGCGTCTCTATGTGACTTGATTACATTACGTGATTTCACTGACTTCACTACATTAAGTACTTGACTACATTGCGCGCTTTCACTACATTACTTGACTACATGATGTGACGTCACTTCATGACTGGACTTCATTACGCGGCGTCACTGCATTACTTGACTTCACTACATTACGTCCCTTGCGTGTCTTCACTACTTGGAGGGCCGGGGGCAGGTATAAGTACAGAGGAAGGTTAGAGCATTTATATCATTTGCTTACTAAGTGCTGTAACCTACCTTATAAGTGGTGCTAAGTTACTTTGTAAGTGCTGCTAAGCAGGTTGCTGTCTCCAAGTCACATACGTAAGTAGTAACAGTTTGTAGCTAACTATATATTGTACCATAATGAGTACACAACATATGGCACGTGGCTAACCACTTAGCGTGTGTGGGCTAAGTGAGATAGGCCGCTAAAGCCTTAAGCGGCCTAAGTCCTGTAAAGGATTGATGCTACTTGGGTATCTAAGCTAAGTGCACTTACCAAAATGTACGGAAAAACACAAAATGTCGTTGCACTTGTGGTGGAAAGACAAAATTTTGAATGGGGTTTTGGTGGAAGCACAAAAATGCGTTGCAAGTTTTCGTGGAAACGCAAAAATCCAAATTGGTTGTGGGGAAACACAAAAGCGTTCGCGGACGTAGGTCTGTGCTGTCAGCGACTTACGTAAGTGCGCTAAGTGCTGTCACAGTAAGTCCGCTAAGTGACATACTGTAAGTGATGTATCCAACTAGTAAGTGCCGTATGTACCTAGTATGTCCTATGTGCTTAGAACCGTTTCGGAGCCTCCAAGTACATTACTTGTCTACATGACGTGACTTCACGACATTACTTGACTACAGTATGTGTTTACATTACTTGACTGACTGCATTTGCTTGACTTCACTACATTACTTGTCTACATGACGTAACTTCACGACATTACTTGACTACAGTACGTGACTACATGACTTGACTGACTGTATTACGTGTCACTGCATTACGTGACTTCACTACATTACTTTACTACAGTACGCGACGTCACTGCAGTACGTGACTTCACTACATTACGTGGCTTCACAACATGATTTGACTGCATTACGTGACTTGACTGCGTGACCTCACTGCATTACTTGACTGACTGCGGTACGTATCCGCGCTGCGTGACGTGACTGCAGTACATTACTTGACGGACTAGTTGGCGCGGCTGCACTAGACTACTTGACTACACTACCTGGCTTCACTACATTGCTTGACAACTTTACGTAAGACATTGCGAGTGTCCGTAACTCGGACGTTTCTCTACCTAAACTTTCTTTGATCAAGGATCCACTTGCAATTTGCAGGTGTATAAACGTGCATCACATTCAAAGGACTAGTTATGCAACGTTGCCGAATGGCTGCAAATTGGCGCTTCGTGAAAAATAAAAAAGATGTGTAAGTTCGTAAGTCGCTGCGTCTCACATGGTTCGGAGTAAATAACCGCAGGATTAATATTCCGATTAATGTGACGAAAGGCTACATTGCACAAATGTGCGCTGTTGCTTTTATATATGAACCATCCACACCATGACTCTTAACCCATCTTAGCTCATCGAAGCACAGGAAAAAAAAACATTGGAATCCGAAGGGTTGTAAGTCTTAATCTGTAACCCACGCTACAACTATTTTGAAGCATGGAAACTAAGCATGGAAATCAAGTCGGCCACGGTCAGCATCTCAGCCGATGGGAGAACCATTGGGATCCGAACGGTTTGCGGACCTAAATGTCATATGTAGCAATCTACATCTATGAAACATTCAGGACCTAGGAGTGGGACCCATGTCTGATGCTGCCGAGCTAGTTGAACAAAATGACAGAGTAGCCTTTCTATTTTCTCTGTGGGCGCAAGACTGGCAGTGGCTTCTTCCTCTTGCGGAAGACATGTCGTTTGACCTTGAGAACATGTTTCCTCGGCTTCAAGCGCAAATGTAATTTCCAACGATCTTGTTGTTTTCGCAGCTTATGCTTATGCACGACTGCGGCATCGGTGTCATGGCGATGCACAGGCTGACGCAGCTGCCGTCTGTGAGCAAGCGCGGCCGGGATATTCGCCCCAAAAGGGGCAAGGAAATGATAGTTGGATTGTTGGAGTTTTCCTTCCAGTAGAGAGAGAATCTGACCTTGCGAACGTTGCGCGAGAGTTGGAGAAAAGGCGGCGCTGTGATGGGACAGCAGCTTGCCCAGAGAGAAGCTGCGAAGGACTACATCCATGCTCTCAACATGTTGTTGCACCACGGGTCTCTGACACACATTGAACTGCGCGTGTAAAGCTTCGTTGGCTGTGGTACCCATGGACAGCAATCTTTTGTGTTCAGAAGACAAAGTAAAGATTGCGCAGCTTCCGTTCTGCAAATATCTGAAGTGCTGGTAGGCGCATCCTGCGATCAGAATTTGCTTTGCCGACTTTCCTTTCGAGTTCTTGCGGTTCATGTCTTGAGCATAGTCCAAAGTAAGATCGAAGATGTCATTGATATATTGTTGGTGCTGCTCATAAGGCTGCGCGCAATATGCGTCCAAATCCCTGTCTGCTGCGTGACGCCGTGCTTGATCTGCTGGCCAAGATCCTGCGATGAAGCATCGTGCATGTATATGTTTTCATTTCAAGGGATATGTCTCTAGACCTTGGCTGGGCTGATACGAGTCATGACAAGCACTGTTGCAAAACAAGTGGAAAGAAAGCAGCAAACAATGGAAAAGTAGCACATGTCCTTCATCTCCAGCTGCTGGTTTCTCGCCAGCATAGATTGAACCATTGAAGGCAACGGTAAATTTCTTTTGTAATCGCAAAAGTAAGCTGGATAGTTTTGTTCTTTTCTCGCCGAAACATCCCTCAATTCGCAGGACGAGATGTAACGGGTCCTCGGCGATCCCCAGCAAATGAGGCAAACAGGTAGCTGCCTTTGCAATTGTAGACGGGGTATCTGTAAAAATCCATCGTGTCTTTTGTCGGGCAGAAAGAGGCAGAATGTCACACATGGCACTGCTGAAACTGTCGGGCCCTTCCGAAGACTGCAGAGACAAACCTGCGAGTGCACCAGTGATGCCGAGCACGGAATGCAGCGCATGGAACTCATCTTCCTGCTGATTCATCTTCTCTTGACCGAGAAAAGTGAAGAGAGATTTGAATGTCGCATCATGTGATAAGATCAGCCACTCATCTCTTTGCGAGTTGGAATCGATCAGCTGTTTGCGAAAATTGCACAATTCCGGCAGAGACCAAACCGCTTCCATCAAGCGGCGACGTGTGAGCCTATTACGTGTTCCCAGCAGAGCACACGGAGTTCCGTGGCTAACATAGTGCCGATGCAGTTCTAAGAATGTGGTTTCCGATTTTCCTTGTGATTAAGCATTAAAGATAGAAGAACATTTGCAAATGTATTGTCAAAATACACCTTCCGGTGGAGCCGCTTGCAGTTCACTGTTTGTATCTTCAGCCAGTATTGCGGCCCTGTGCCTGTCAAGACCAAGACCATGTCAATGTCATTTCGAGTTTGCAAAAACTTTTCCTCTGCAGGCGTCGCAGCAATCCATGCTCGCATCAACGTAGCGGCTGCCTGCAACCATTGTCTCTCTCGGTTGCCATTGCCCAGTGGACGAAGCACCTGGCATGTGGGACGAAAATCGAAACGATAGTAGACATGGTGAAAGAATCCAGCCCTGTGAGATGATGCGAAAATGAGGCTATGCCATGTTTGTAAATATTATTTTGCTCACGACCTGGTTTGCAGATTGACCTGTGAAAAAAAACAGATTCCTAGCCTTGTCTTGCTCAAAAAGGGCAAGGGCAACATGCCATGGCGCTTTGGTGCGTGAGTTGGGCACAAAAAGCCGATCTGCAGTGTGATATTTCGAAATGTGTCTCTGCAAGCGGTCCCGCCGATCAAAGGTCCGAAACGGACACAGCAAACATGCAAATTGGGGCCTGTCGCGTGGTTCCGCCGTTGCATGAGATGCATCGGCGACTTCTGTCCGCACTTCGAGGAGAAATTGGGAAACAATATCTTCCGAATATTCTTCATCTTCACTCATGCGGCTGTCTGTCAGCACAACATTGAAAAGAAAAGGTCGAATCACAGCAGCAGGACTCCAAGACTAAATCGTGAAGGAGCTCCACGGAGGCCACTTCTTTGAGAAAGAGTCAGGAATCAACAATAGCAAGACCGCATTCTTTCAAAGACTTGGACTCGAGCGCACATGGCACAGACGCGTGCAGAAGATTATAGCGTCGTATACACGGCTACATTTACAATCCCCCTTGACTGTACCTGTATAGAATGGAAGAACCCATGCCCCGTATGAAATGGAAAAAACAACATCATGTCATACACGGCCCATCTTGGAAAATGGGGCAAAAAAACCTTAAATGTTGGTGCCATGTTGCTCCCCTCCATTTCATACAAAACGATGGTAATTCCATTACATACAGCTGCATTTTTCTTTAGAATAATTAGTCCCAAAATCGGCATTTCCATAATATAAATGTTGTTTGCTATTTTTGGGAAGGTTCCAGTTTGAACACTTACGGAAAACTTGGACATCTGTTAATCAGATGGAAGTTTCTTTCAGCGATCGATGTCTTGAAAATGAACCAGTGAATGTTTGAAAAGTGATTGTGGATAATAACCACAAAGAACCCACATAACCCATAAAACAACATATAACCCATATAACCAAGTATAAACGTGACATTTCTCATTTTCTCGTTGTTCCCCCTGCTTGGTTACCCGTTGTGTTACCCTGTTGGTTTGTCCCGGTGTGAATCCCATCGTGTTGCCCCGTCCCTGACGGGTCGAAGTCCTCGAGCCATAAGAAGTGTATACAATGGAATAATCAGGAAACACGAAATATAGAAACAATAGAAGATTATCCATTTTATACACCGAAATGTGGGGTAAACATATATGGAATACGTTCCATGTCATACAAGGGGACTTTCACAAACACCTATGTTGTTTATAATATGGATCGTTCTGGTATGTTAACGTGTCCGAACATAAACAATAATTTTATCTTAAAATATTTTAAGATACCTTAAAATGACCCCCTCAAAAAACAACTAATTCCATAATATACAAGTCAAATTCTTGGTTTCAAGAGTTCATTGTTTTGCCATTTCCATAACATATTGGCGAATCATTTCTTTGTATATCCGGCCTGCTAGGTAGTGCAATGGTGGTATTCCATAATATATAAGCCCAAAAAAGGATCCATTCTATACAAATATACCTGTACCCAACCATTACATAAACCAGGTGTTTATGGAATGGTGGGGCACGGGTTCCTACCCATCAATCAAGGGGGATCATTTACATAGTGATGCTAAGTAGCACTCACGACTTATACGTATTCTCTGGTGCAACTGTATTAGATGTCACGTGTTCCAGGTGTATAGTGTTGGGAGGCACATAACAATTTGTATTCAACAGACTTTTGGACGGAAAGGGCTAGTAAGCTAGTTACTGGTGATCATGCGATGGATGGTTCGAAGTTTGGAAACAAATGACGACGCAGGCGGCCAAGAGACATGTTTGAGAACTGTAAGTCCTGCATCTGCAGCTTGCCCGTGGGATCGGGCGACTTCCAAAAATTGCTCCAACTGATCTTGCCGCGCATCTCTGCCATCTTGAACATACTCTTCCAACTTGGCCATGTCTAAGCAGCAGTTGCAGTCCCAAAGATCGTCGGCCCATGGGAAACCTTCAGGAGCGCCGCCTAGCAACATGTATGCGACATGCTTGCTTTGTGACAGGAAATTTAGGAGCTTAACTTCCGACTATGCGATTATAGTCTGGTAGCGGGAGAAGAGCGTGAGAGATCACAATAGATCAGCAGATGCGAGTGGAGGAGACGCAAAGTCACGAAATGCCGCGTTCTGCGCAAGGCTTTCTAGCTCCGGAGATTTAAACGGTTAGCTGGTTAAAGCGCGCTTGAGCAGAGAGGCCCGCTAGATAAGACCTAGCAAAACTTCCCGCTGCCAGATAGAAATACATGGATAAAAAAATATATTAGTTAAATAGATAGATAGCTGGCTAGGCTAGATCACTCATATATAGATAGATAGTTCAGATAAATAGATAGTGCAGAAAGATAGAGAGATAGATACATGGAAAGATAAGTAGATAAGAAATCAGAAAGACAGATAGTTGTGTAGATGAGGTAGCTAGAAAAAAGAAATAGTTAGCTCGGCATGTAAGATGGATAGATAGATATCTACATTGATCAGATAGAGAGACAGACACACAGAGAGACAGACGGACGCACGGACGGACGGACGGACAAACGGACAAACGGACAGACAGAACAGACAGGACAGACAGGACAGACTAGATGGATGATATAGATAGATAAAGAGACAGACAGTTGGAGAGGTATTATTTCCAGTGCAGCTTGGATATTATTTCTTGCCCTGCCAGTTATGCTTCACAGCGTAAACTTCTGCTGCCGCGTGGTGCGGTATTTGTGATACGGACTGGTGAGTCACAAATGTGTAAAAAGAAAGGAAAAAATTGGCTTGCCCGGACAGGCAGGCAAAATGAGGCAACGCAAGGACACATAGTTTCGGTTTGTTTTCGGTGCCTTCACAGGCGTCATCCCACGTAGCTTCGCCAGATGGTTCCTCCTCCCACTGCCAATCATCCCATGCGCCAAAAACACGCAGAATCTCGTCCTGTGTGGAGCAGAGACCCTGTAACACGGATTGCATGTGACCAAGATCCAGCATTCTCCGTTGAAATTTTGCAGGCTTCCCGGCTTGCACCTTCAGCTCGCGCACTAAATGAGGCCATTGTTTGCAAGCATCTTGCAGATGCTCCGATCGAGTTCGTTTGATACCGCTCTTCGGGCGAGACGACACACCAGGATTGGTCTTGGTCAAGAGTCGATTGATTTGATGTTGAGCTACAAAAGGTGTGGTGAGTGCAGCATGAGTCTCTCTCACGATTGCTTCAGCTTGACCGAGATCCGACATCTGAGCAGGCACCGTCTCAGAGGGTTCATCTCCATCTGGCGTCTCTGCTGTAGTTTGCCGCGCCATCCTCTGCAACAGCCACTGTTTGTCCTGTCCAAGGCGAGCTGAAACACAAGAATAACATCACTCTGAAGCTGCTTTGGAAACAAAAAAAGGAAGGCATGTCCAGTGGAACAGCATGTAAGAAGCAACTCAGAACACTAAAGCGCACCTATCCTACCCAGCTCTGGCAAGCCGACAGTCAGTTCTGACGGTCACCTGTATGTGGATCGGTTACGGAGAAGCCCGGATATATGCAAGGAATATATATATATATGCAAGTATTATACATATGTAAAATGAAATAGATGCAAGTATTTATTTATATATATTATGCAAGGAATATATATATATATACATATATATGCAAGGAATATATATATACATATGTATTTATTTCCAGGAAACAAATGTCGTCTGTATCCATGTTGACTGTTCGGACAGGCTGCCATAAATCTTTGCGCGCACAGTCCTTTGCTACTTGGCTCTCTGGCGAGATCTCCGTGAGTAGCTTTTGGCATGCAGTTGGGTCATGTTTGTCCATGAATGGAAGCAACCAGTCGTTGTAAAACGACCAGACAGCTGCTGGCGAGGAGCAAAATGTTTTCGCTTCGGGATCACACGGAAAGACGCATTGGGACACGTTGGCGGCAGTCTTGTCAAACGTGAGTGTGTTTCGCATGAAAGTACACAAGAACCGTCTTGACAAAGAAGCTTCCAAAGAAGTTGGCAAAGATGGTATGTCCAAACCATTCATCAGCCACAGTTTGGCTGCAAATTCAAAACTACAGTATTTCGTGTCCATCTCATGATTCCGCCTCAACGGCAAAAGACCACCGGATATGTAGTTCTTCAAGGTATCTTCTACGACTGCGCCGTCACGACGAGCTTCGTCGATTGCCAGCATAGCGCAGTGGAAAAACGCATGTCCTTGTTGCTGAAATTCACGTTCAACCTAGACAAGGCGCTGCGGCGTCCAGGTCACTGTAGGTAAGAAATCGAGGAATGATGAAACGGATCTTCTTTGGACAAAATCACATGTTGAGGCAAACAAGTATTTTGGAAGACTTTGCTTGTCACGATGAACGCGGCCAGAAGTTGCAGAACACGCTAGTTACATTTTCAATCACATTACTAACTACACATATCGCGGAATGTGCGCGCGTGTGGGATCCAGTCAAGCCTGCAAAATCGAGCAAGGTGGGTTCCCATAGGCAGTGCCAAAACATGCACGGAGGAGATCTATACAGATCATTGATTTCCCGTCGGCGCCGCTGCCGACGAGGACGTGCATCAGTTCTGGTTGTCTGTGTCTGCTGAGAGCAAGAGCCGCTTGAGCGAGCAAAATTTGCAAGCCCTCTGTCTTTGCAAAGCTAGACACAAGCAAAGATGCTAGTCTGCGCCGAGCAGAGTCTGGCGGAGTCCATGCCAAGCTCGATGGTACCGACACGTAGCAATTTTGCCTCGGATCTTTTTTCAGCTGACGAACCTTGCCCTTCGTAGTGTTGATGTAACCTGAGCTAATTGGAGCCGAGTGTCTTATATGACTTGGTTTTCCACAAGCTCAAATAGTTGCAATTCATTGATTGTCCAAGTAAAACAAACGCCGCAAAGCGTTAAACAGACCAGAAAATACACTTGAGACTGTTACTGACACACTTATCTGCGAGTCAATGGCAAAAAGCATGAGCTGTAGCTTATGTATTGCTCTGTTGTGAAAACATTGTAGGTCGCGCGACGCGATTTAGTGTGCCGCGATATGTAGCAACTGTGCGCTATGGACCGCGGGGCAGGGAACCCCCGACCACTCTCAACATCTCTACGATGATGAGCCATCCCGGTGGGGTGTCGCGGACTGGAGGCACAGTTGATGTCCCACACCCTCTCCCCCGGGCCAGGAGCAGCGCAGGTTGCATGGCCTCGGAATTTTGCATGGAACGTGTTTTCCCAGATGGGGACAAGTTTGCGGAGTTGCATTTTTGTTTCCTAAATCTATAGGACGATTGAGATGAAAACCTATTTATACCTACATTTGCAAGATCTAGTTTTATCTCTGTATGTATGTAAACAGGTATCTACAGCTATATATATAGAAATCTATACGTATATGCATTTTTTCATACATGTATATAACTACCTATGTATATTAGTATATACCCGTTGCTGTAGCATTCTAGACAGGCAACCCGTTTTTTTGCCCCCCGTTGGGGCTAAAATCCTTCAATCAATATGGTGTAGGAGGTAAAAACTGAAACCAATGAAAACCTTTGCGGAACGTTTCTGGTATGCGAGTGTGGCACTCATAAAACTCAGGCTCCAGGCTCTCATCCTGTGCAAGAACTTCACTATTTCATTTTCCTGAAACTCAGGCCCCATGTCTTCATCCTGTGCAAGAATGTCACATTTACTTTTCATGAATCTCAGTCTCACGTGTTCAGCCTGTGCAAGAATGTCACATTTAGTTTTCATGAATCTCAGTCTCATGTTTGCAGCCCGTGCATGCACGTCACCGCTTAATTGTCATTCGGTCATATGCCAAAGCTGCTTGAACAAGCCTGTGGCAGCCTCTGCTGCAAGATTGTTTATGGGGTGTTGGTTGAAGGTTTCCTAAATTTATGTCAGGTGAGGGAGGGTCTCATTTTTTTGTTGTCGTAAATTTGATGGCAGTGTTGTCATTGCTTGAAATGCAACCACGTCGTTGATGGTTGAAGTTGGCGGTGGATGCTGTGGCAAAAACAAATAGATTTACAAAGATGACGGTGAATTCGATGGTCTGCTTATTTCGCCTGTCGCTTCCCTCATCATCCACTGCCACCTGTTTCTGAACACCTCACTACACAAATGCGAGAACGGAAAGAAAGTGGAGAACGGACAATAAGAATTGTTTAACCATAGAACCCATGAACCCGAAAAGCTTTGTTTGAGATCCGCCACCATCAACTGAGAGATGTGCTTTTGAAGCTTCCGCACCATAGAGTGCGTCGCTCTCTCCCAGTGTATGGATTTTATAAATAAGAAACACCTACTGTCCGTTGCGTCGTGCTGTCCGTGTTCGCGACATTGATTGCAATGGAGACGTTGCTTGCACCGCTTCCGCGGGCGCGCAGTTCTCACAGTTCTTTGAATGTTTTGAATTTGTCACGTCTGTCTCTGTTCTCACCGCAGTTCTAACTGCAGTTCCCTCGTCAAATGTGTCAAGTGAGTCAAGTCCACACAGTTCGTCGGGATCGCATCGTCACCGAGGCAATTGCCACATCTGACATCACAAAACATGGAGGCTTCCTTTAATTTTGAAGCTGTCCCTGAAGCGAAACATCCGAAAGGAAACGGTGCCAAGGACTGATGGGAAACCAGGCTTTTGCAAATCCAACTTTGGATGAAACCTCTGAGCTTGACGTTTGGCAACTCTTCCAAAAAAAACATCTTATTGGATGAGTCCCGGCGCTGGCTTTTTTTTCCACGATCCTTAATTCCCGTGCGTAATGTTTTTGGTGTACAGGCCAAAGCCGTCTGTGGGCAAAAATCAGGCGCGCCAGCCCTAGGTTTTGAGCCTCTGTGCAGCATCCCCGAGTAGTAAATATTAACGACAATATCTAGGTCAACAGTCTTTATATATAAAGTGCACTTTTTTATGCGTACATGTATCGTGTATATCTAGAAGATACTCTTTCCATGTCTACGTCTTTGTATCTCCTCCAAGGACAAAGAAGAGGCTATTTGTTTGTACCTGATATTATTCGATGTCGATGTTTATGGCTCCCTTAGCAGAAAGCAATCATGCGCTATGGACCGCGGGGCAGGGAACCCCCGACCACTCTCAACATCTCTACGATGATGAGCCATCCCGGTGGGGTGTCGCGGACTGGAGGAGTAGTTGATGTCCCACACCCTCTCCCCCGGGCCAGGAGCAGCGCATGTTACATGACCTCGGTAGTCTACACGACGTAGCTACATGAAGCCAACGTGTGCTGAGGGATGGAACCATGGCCGAGTATGGTCCAATCAACCTATAGTATTTTTTTGACAACAGCATACGTATATATGCATATATATATATATATATAAACAAGCCCTTTTTGTACATTGTTTTATACTTATCAGTATATCAATATGTGCATGTGTATGTAGATATATCTATATGCGTATATATACATACAGACATATATGTAGATGTGTAAATGTAAAAATATATATAGATATAGATATAGATATAGATATAGGTCTGTGCATACCTTTCTATGTGTTTGTACAAATGTTGAGCGCAGAAACCTATTCGAAAACTTATACTATTATTTTCATCTTATTTCTACATCGGAGTTTGAATGCATAGATGCGTGTACCCATATACCTACACGTCGTGAAGAGAGAGAGAGAGAGAGAGAGATTTTGACCCATGCAAGACACATGTACATTTTCAAAAACCAAGTCTAGGTTGTTGAGGTCGGTACAGTCTGCAAATGCAATGCCTGCAATGGCCTTGTCTGACAGTGTCGAGTCGGACCATCGAACAAAGGACTTCACGAGGGACTTGCTGTTGTCTTGTAAGGCCTTGCGTAAGTCCCGCATCAGCTCCGCACAGCCGAGACACCACTGCTTCGACCGCTTCTCTGGCTTTGTTGTGCTGATTTCCCCTAACTGCCACTCCAGCAATGGTTGATCGTCATCTAAACTGAAAATTACCTTCAGCTCCCAGGCCACTGCATCAAAATCTCGTTGAACAGCATTGCCTCGGGCAAAGCATGTATACGCTGAAGCGTAGCATGATCCTGCATCGAGTACCTTGACGTTTGCTAGATTATGGTACCTCGATGCTTGCTGGAGTATGGAAGATCGCATCAGCACTGTTTTGGCCTTCTGCCGCTAAGGTGTCTCCATGCATGTTTTGAACCATCAATGTGAAACAAGTAGAAACATGAAATTCAAGTAACATACACTTTCTGAAGGAATGACGGCAAAATGCGGTGAAACAGTGGGGGAAGCAATTCTGTTGTGGCCCAAGATTCGGTCTAAGGGATGTGCAAAGTAGGCTTGCGCTCTCCTCGCTGCGCGCGTGAGAAACTCTAAGTCTTCAGCGCGCAAAGTCCCAGAGGACGTGGGATGCCATGCTCCTTGATTGTAGGAGAATAATGTTCCGGCATGACAACGATACCTTTCGCCCAGCAAGAGCGTGAACATTTTTGTATGTAATACTTCTGACTTTGCATCATCGGCGCACTGGTCGAGCAACAAGAGCGTTGCTTGCGCTGCCGCACGCCGCACCGACCACTCCGCATTCAAAATCTTGTTCTGCCACTCAAAGGTTTGGTCAATTCGGCTTCGTAGAATATCCATAGCTTCTGCAAGGGATGTTGTCCCCGCCTCTATATCCACAGTCAGTTTCCTGTCCGTGTAGGCGATGTGACGCAGGTGTTCTGGAAGCCACTGCTGAACTGCATCCCAATATTCCGATGGGCAATGATCATCATCTGTTTGAGTCGCTGAAGGATCCAACACTTCTGGTATCTCCAGCTGCGGGAGCTCATGGAGTAAGATTGCCGGCGTGTGTTCTGCCGCTGCGCGCTGTCGATCATAGTTCTCAATCCACGCATCGATATTCATGGCGCATGGTAGAAACCTGAGGCTGTGAAAAATTGAGAGGCACACACGCTTGTTTAGTTTTATGGGTATGGTTGACGTTGCTCAAACTTTCGATACGAGGAGCGGCACTAGAGCCTCGAAGAGTGTTATGTCTGTCGCATGAAAAAAACATCGAAGGCTGCCGAGGAGCAGCTCCAAAAGTCTTGATGTCTATTCCATCAGAGCAGACCAGTTATAGGCGAACCCGAGAGCAGCGCAGCTGCATGGCTCTGCTCGCGGTCGGACAGGTTTACTGGAGAACAGACCGAGGTAGTTATGTTGTTTACGTAT